TTTGCCTCCCTCTCGCGCCGGAGCGCACTCAGGAGCTCTCTACTCTTCCGCAGACCCGACTCCTTATGGAGCGACTTAGGCTCCTGACAGCTAGTCTCTTTGGCCTCCCTGCCATTCAACTTTCCCTCGTCCTCGGAGTCAGACAACTCCGAGGCTAGAGCCCCGTCCTTCTCCTTAGCATCCTTGTTCCCCTTGACGGACACCTCTCGGGAGCTCCCTGACTGGGCCTGCTCAGATACCCTGCGTACTTTTGTAAGCTCTTGAGAGCTTTCTCCACAACCACCCTCGCTCTTAGTGCCGCTACCTAGCATGTTTCCCATTTTTTAATATGTTACTCACCGCGTGAGGCCCAAGGAATCTGCCACTTACGCGTGAGCCTGAGGGGAGTCTAAAAGCCCTGTAGGTGCGCGCCACCCAGAGCCCAGGCTTATCCCCAACTCACCTGTCTCGCAGCTCTGTACTGGAGCGTTGTCCACTACGTCTCGGGGGTGATCAGTCCCCGTACGGGCCACCAAATGTCGCGGTCGCTTCTGGCCGGCGGAAGGACACACGACAAAGTCTGGGAGTGGACAACCTTTTCTTTTTATTCTTCTTCTCCGTACAGCCTGCCCTGGGTTCTCCCAGCTGAAGCCTCCTTTGGTCCGCTCTCCGCGGCTCCTCTTGTGCTTCAGTCTGCCCCGAAGCCTCTATCGGTCCGCTCTCCGCGGCTCCTTCTGGGCTTCTACTTCCGGGCTTCTACCTGGCTTCTACTTCCTCCCAGGGGTGGCACCAGTATATATACGGGTACAGTGTCCAATCATGTTAAAGTAAGCAAGGCAAGCTGATTGGCTAACATCATCAGTTGCCAGGCAGACTATATTGTTGAGCGGGTTGCTTACGCGGTAAGCAGGAAACTGGCGTACTCGATGGGAGGGGTAATCTACCTCAGGCTTTGCTCTTTACTACAGGCCGCACGTCCGCCAAGTAAGGCGACCGGGCTCGGGGCTGCGGCTCCCAACATTGCGTTTAGACTATGTGGGAGCCAGTAAGAAGATGTGAGTTTGGATTAGCAGGTGACCTAATAGTGGGTAAGCTAGTTAACATCTCTCCACCATCCTGTGCTTGCTTGTAAGAGTAAAGCTAACTGCATTCCACAATGAGATTGGAATGCGTCCCAGAGTTCCTCCAGCTCTTAGGCACCAGGGATACAACATAAGCAAGACAGACTTGCTCCCTATTTCCTGGAATTTAAACAAAGGTCACACAGTTAAATAGTTAATTCCAGTTGCAATAAGAGCTCCTACCTGGAAGATGTGTAGATCAAATGAATCAGTGTGCAGTCAGATTCAAAACTGGTGTCATATGATGGTGTATAAAGTCTAATGGGCAATCGAGGTCTTGCTGACAGCCCTAAATGGCATAAATAAGCTTTGAGTGCTAGTATTGCCTTTAGTTTTGTATATATTTAAAAGGTTAGAACTACCAGTCTCCTGGCATGATAGGAATCACAAATTCCAGCACTTAGGAGGCTGAGGCAGGAGGGCTGTTCAAAGGTACCTGAACTGCAGAGCAAGAACCTGACTCTGAAAAAGAAAGAAAGAGAATGTTACGGCTGATACATGGTGTTAACTTGAGAAGTTTGCGTGACTCAATGGGCATCCAGGTCCTTCGTAACATCCTCATCTCCCAAAAGAGGAGGGCACAGAAAGATGGTGTGAGAGCTACATCTGCCCTAGAAGGTGGTAGCCTGCTTACAATATAAGGTAGGAAAAGAGGCTTGCTTCCTCCTCCCAGCGCTTGTTGCTTTTTGCTCTCTTCCACCTAGAACTATTGGTCCTATTCCAGGGCACTCTGCCTTGGAGCCAGCTGATTTTGGAATGAAACCTCCACAGACTGTGAGCTAAATAAACCTTTCCTTCCTTCATTTAAGGTGTCAGGTATTCTTGTCTCAGCAATGAGAGAAAAGTAACTAAGACAGAGGAAAGCCATGTTGTGGTGATTTGAATGTGTGTGCCATATCAGCAAGCTGGAAGGCCGGATACCCACCACTAATTTTAGGGACATAATCTTGCCAAGGAGAAAAGCAGAACTTGCTGCTAATTGCTGCCCGGAAGGAAGAACAGTTTAATATTAACAAGAATGGGGCCAGCTGGGCCTAACCTGGGCATCTGAGCCCCAGGGGAGAGGAAGGTCCGGACAGGAAGTTTTGGCCAGAGGTCTCTGTACCTTTCTGTGTTCCAAGCATTAGCCATAGGAGGAAAACGTTGCGCCCACATACAGACATTATCATCATCTAGATCAATGCTATGTGATGAAAACAATACAGATTCCTTTAAATGCACTACGTAAGTCTTGCTAGCTTTGCTTTTTTTCATTCTGTATCTTCACAATCAAATCCTAGCCTGCTTGAGGCTGGAGATGTAGCTGAGAGGATAGAGCATTTGCTGACCAAGATGAGGCCCTGGGCTCCCCCAGCACTGCAATACCAAACAAAACTGAACCAGCAACTGTATCCTAGCTGAAACCTTGTAGTGGCTCATCCTGGCTCCAGGACTAGTGCAGAGTGCCTTCTGGGCAAGATTCTGTTGCCCTCTCTTGGAGACATGGGTCACTCCCTATCCTCTGCCAAACTGGGACATGAAGGCTTTTCTAGGCCAAGTCTTAGGGTCCCTGAGGCTCAACTGGATACACATTCTGGGACCAACAGGTGCAGGGCCTCTGAGCAGGACGGACATCCAATCTCCTGCAGGGGCCGAGCCCACCAAGGCTGGCACCAGGCCACTCAGACACCGGATCAAGCAGGCCATCCCTCAGGCCAGTCCTTCTCCCCTCAGCCTCCCTGTGCCCAGGCTCCCGTTCCTCTCTCCCCTTTCCTCTCGGGAATCCCGAGGCCCAGGCAGAGTTGAACTTGGAGCTATCTCCCTGTTTCCTCACTCTGCTTCACTGTGCCCCGCAGATGCTGCACCCACCAGCTTCTGATAAAGAGTTCTCCAAATATACAATCTCCACCAGTGTGGTAGTGCACACCTGTAATCCCAGCACTCGGGAGGCTGAGGTAGGAGGATCCCAGTGAGTCCAAACCCAGCTTGAACTACCTAGGGAAACTGTTTCAAAAAATAATAAACAGCCAGGGCCCAGGAAGAGAGACAAGCCAGTTCACCCTCCCCATGAGTCAGCAGAAGCCATGCTGGGTCTGGGAGGAGTATAACAAGAAGCTAATTCACCCTTTCCCTGAGCTGACTGGCACAGGCTGAGAATCAAGAAACCTCCCCACCCCCATAAGCTGGTTCAGAGGACGGGCTGAGTTGATAGCAACTCAGGTACAAAAACATTTAAATGCTTGTCTTGTATTTTTTGATTGACTTTGCAGGCCTAAGGCTGGTAGTCTGAGCGCCTGTTAAGAGGACAACAGTATGCAATGTAACAACTGTGTGGGATTTCCGTCTGTCTTGTTTTTGAAATCCAATATTGTTCTCACTGTTTTGTTCCAGTTTATTGTTTTGTTTTATTCAATGTTCTGTTTTGATTGGTTTTATTCTGCTTTGCTTTATTTGATTTGACTATGTCTGATGGTATGAGTAACTATTCTGAAGATAACAAGATATAATATAGTAGTCACTGTTGACTCCCTATATATAATCTTGTTTTGAAGTTTTGTACCACTTTCACTGTTTTGTTTTGATTGGCTTTATTCTGTTTTATTTTGCTAGGTTGAATTCTCTTTAAAATAAAATAATAATAATAAATATAAAAATAAATAATCTTGGGGGAAACTATTATTTGACAAAAGGACAGGAGTAAAGGAGAGGAGGAGGAGATATAATACAGTACAGTAATGAGTGGTCATAATCAAAATGCTATATGCATGCATGAACATGTCTCAATGAAACCCACCATCTTATGACATTAATATGCACTAACATATATGTAGATATTTGAAAATAAACAATCTTGGAAATCACAAAACTTTGTGATGGTCTCCATGGACTCGCTCTCTTTGGTCCTATGTGGAAATCAAAAGCCCACAGTGCCATAAGGCCCAGCATTAGCTCACGAAGCCTGTCCAGGTAAATTAAGTCCCCAAGGAGAGAGTCACAGTGGAGGAAAGGGGAAAAAGCCTTTTTTACTTCACTCCCCATCCTTGAAATGCTCCACAGGGGAACTGAGGGTACGAATCAGTGCTAGACCTTTGCCTCGCATACACGAGGCCCTGGCACACCCAAGAAATAAAAGTAAAGAAAAAGAAAACAGAGACACAAGTCTATCTTTCAAAGATGTGAGAATAGAGCCAGGTGTAACCTCAGTGCTCTGGGAGGCTGAGACAAGAGGATCACATGTCCAAGCCAAGCCTGGGCAACTTGGTAAGACTTTGTCTCAGGGGGCTGGGGATTTAGCTCAGCAGCGTAAGTGCCTGCCTTGAAAGCAGGCAGTCATGAGTTCGATCCCCAGTACCGATAAAAAGGAAAAAGACAAAAAAAAAAAAAAAAAGACTTTGTCTCAAAGTAAAAGAGCTGGAAAGGCCCTGGGCTCATTCCCTTTTAACACAGACAGACAGACAGACAGACAGACAGACAGACAGACAGACACACACACACACACACGGAGATGAAAAAAAGAACAAACACTCCATTTTTAAAAAAATTTTATTTTGAAAGTATACAACAGAATAAGACAGAATAAAGCCAACTAAGATCGTACAGTGAAATTGGTACAGAACTTCACAGCAGGTTACCGGGATAACAGGAATAGGTATCACAGGATATTTTGTTATCTTTATAATAGTTGTTCTTTCAATAACATATATCAAAATGAGATGAAATATAGAACACTATAGAACTTATCAAAACAGAATATTGAATAGAACAGTACTATTAATCAGAAAAGAGCAAAACAGTAATAAAAATATTTGCCTTCAAAGAGATGGTAGAATGAAGTCCCCCTTATTTGCTATGGTCAACCTCCCAGGAGATGCTCAGATTTCTGGTTCCCATTTGTTAATGGGCGGCGGCGGGGGGGGGGGTGGAATAGAGGAAGTGGGATATTTGACTCTAAGTCGTGCATCAGTAGGTTCACTATTGCTTAGTAGGGAGGCAGGCTGGTTGTTTGGTTTCACAGCGTCCTAAGTTCCAACATGGTGCAGATCTCAGGAGATGCTGCTGGTTCTCCCCCTGGAAGGGCTTGCAGTCTGCCACACCGCCACCGCTTACCAGGGAGGGGAGGTGCTTGCTTGGCTTGCCAGAAACACTCCATTTTTTAATTGCCAAATACTGTGCTAACACAAGAATACACTTAACATATATGTACAGTTTAAAAACAAAAATGAATATACTCACCTATTCAGTTTTTTTTTTGTTTTGTTTTTTTGTTTTTTTTCTTTTTGAGACAAGGTCTATCTGTGTAGCTCAGGCTGAACTTGAACCCACTATGTAGCCCAGGCTGGCCCAAACCCCCACATCCAGCCTCCAGCTATTTTAAAAGTCGATTTAAGGCCAGACCTGGTGGTATACACCTGTAATCCCAGCACTCAAAAGGCTGAGGCAGGAAGATCATTGCAAGTTCAAGGTCAGTTTGGGATACAACGTGAGTTCAAGACCAGCCTGAACTATACAGCAAGACTTTGTCTTAAATTTTTTTTCCTTTTAATTGGTGCCTTTGAAGCCTTCTGTGTGTCCCTCCTCAGTGGCCTTCTAAAAGAAATCACTGTTCTGAATTTGACTTAATCCTGTTCTCCTTTTTCTTTAAAAGTTTGGAATTTGAGGCCTCAAACTTGCTGTGTAGCCTGCGCTCGCCTCAATCTTGAGATCCTCCAGCTCAGCCTCCTGAGAGCAGATATCACAGGCATGCACAACCATGCCTGGCTACAGTTTTATCCCTTAGGTATTTCTTCCTACACAATGCATTTCAGTTTGGGAGGGATTTTTGCATTGTATAGAAATGAAATCACTGAATACACATCTTTTTTCTTTTTGGTACCAGGGATCTAACTCACAAGCTTGTGCTTGCCAGACAGGCACTTGTGCCTCTGAGCTAAACCCCCAGCTACACACATTTTTTGTAATTTTTGTACTCAGAGGGCAGGATTTAAGACCTACCCACTGCAGTGTGCTGGGGTGGCTTCACCTACTTTCATTGATGAACTATGTGACTGCATGATACTGTGCTCCATATCCTCCTGGCTTCAATCATTTTATTTTATTTTATCTTTTATTTTTATTTTTTGTTTTTTTTTGTACCAGAGAGTGAACACATGACCTTGCATTTGCCTGGCACAGTGAACTGATGGCAAGCGCTGTGCCACTCAGCTGTTTCTAGCCCAGCAATCATTTTATGTTTCCTGGTTTTTTCTGCACAGACGGCGCTGGCCTTTCTTGGACCTGTTTCCTTCAGAGAGAAAAGGATAAAGTACAGCCCCACAGCTGCCAAGTAAACTGCTTTGGGAGGCCCGTTGTCATGGCTCAAGGCCAGCAGCTGATGACGGAGGGACGCCAGCTTCGACCTCTAGGGGGAGGTCGGGGGCAACAGAGGCCAAAGAGAGATGGTGATGGTCAGGGCCACGCTCCTGGCTGAGGACCCTGCTGTGTGGCATGAGCCACAGGCAGGAAAAGCACAGGAGGATCCGGAATTCTGTCTTTGCCACAGAGGCCTCCTATATCCTAAAAGTGTGGGAAATATGGTCCCAGACAGGAGAAAGCACATTTGATGACAGAGTACTTGAAGAAAGAAATTGATTTAAGGTTGGGGATTTAGCTCAGTGACCTAAGTACCCACCTGGCAAGTGTGAGGAGATGAGTTTGATCCCTGGTACCACTACCAAAAAAAAAGTTGATTTAGAATTGTTTCATCCTTTTTTTCTTTTTTGGTACTGAGAATTGAACTCAGGGCCTTGCACTTACTAGGAAGCACTGTGCTGCTGTTATACTCCCAGCCTCATCTTTCTCTAATCTACTTTTGAGCAAATAGCTTGTTTCTTTCACAGATGAGCAATGATCAAATGACATGCATGATTAGTGCTGATTCCAGTTAAGCAGTGAGGTTCATATCTGGTTTCACCCAAAAGCCTCCTAAAAGACAGTGAAGAACCAGCCAAGGTGATCTGGTCCGTTGGTCCCAGCACTCTGGAAACAGCCTGGGCATCACTTGAACCATAGAGTTTGAGAGCGGCCTGGACAAGGCAGCAAGACTCTGTCTTAAAAAATTAAAAATCAATTGCTCAACTATTTCGAAGAAAAGAGACGTTATGGTAGCTACTGTTGATGCCTGGTTGTTCTGTTGTGAAGTGCTGTGTTGCTTGCACTGTTCTGTTATGATTTGCTTTGTTCTGTTCTCTTTTATTTTATTCTCTTTAAAATTAAAAATTAAAAATCAAATAAAAGAACCAGTTTGATCACAACAGTAAGTGACAGGAAATAGAAATGTCCTTGAGTATCACATGTTCAAGGACAGTGTGGGCCACTCGGTGAGAACTCCTCACATATTAAAAGTTGAGAAAAGAGCTGAGGATGTAGCTCAGCACTCACTGTGTTTAATCCCCAGAGCTGCAAGGGGAAAAAATGGAATTTACAACAGGAAGACAGCAGATCACAAAATGTACCAAATAACTGTATTTTGTAGAGAAAAAAAGCATGTGTCTCTTCATTTGGAAGAATAAGCCACAAGCACGGTAACCATGAGATAAAACAAAACAAAGCTGAACAACGAAATTGCCAACACCCTTCCCTCACTCTGCTCCTAGATCATAAGTGGCCTCCATCCCAGAAAAATTAAGACAGAACATGAAGCAGATGTAAACCATACATTACAAAAGGGATTACTTCAGGAAACAGAGTCCAACAAATAGTATTCCATGATTTCAAAGGCTGTGTAGGATACAAAATATGAAATTCTTTGTGTTTCTAAAGGAGAAAACACAATGAATAGAAGAGAAAAACAAATACAGGAAAAAAAAAACCTTTCCTGAAATAAAGGTTCACATCTATAGACTAAAAAAATAGAGAATATCTCAGGGGGAAAAAAACTGATACTGATTGAAGATGGCAAAGATTGCTCACTCATTTTTGCCCAGTGTCCATTCATTCTATCTTCTTCCATAATAGAGGAATACTTCCCAGCATCCCTTGCAGTTAGGTGATGTCATGTGCCAAAGCTCCAATCTGTGGGATATAAGCTACAGATTAATATTATAAGTGTCGTGGCCCAAGCCTGTAATTCCAGCACTTGGGAGGCTGAGGCAGAAGGATCATTGCAAGTCTGAGACCAGCCTGAGCTACAAAGTGGGCTTAAAGCCAGCCTGAACTGAGAGCGAGATCCTGTCAAGAAAAAAAATTAAAAAAAAAAATAAGTGTCTTCTGGGTATATCCTTAAAAATGTGAAGAATGTGCTTTTTCCTTTTGCTTTACTCCTCCCTGCTAGCTAGAATGGCATTCTGGTTCATGTAACAAGGCTGACATTCTAGAGATTGTAAAGCAATGACCCAAAAGAGCTTGAACTCCAGATGGTTTCATTATAAGGTTGCTGCTACCTCAGTTTATAGCATTACATGAGAAACAAATACATTTCTTTTTTGAGACAGGGTTTTCCTATGTAGTTCAGGCTGGTCTTGAACCCCACCCAGGCTGGCTTCAAACTCACAGTGATCCTCCTTCCTCAGCCGCCAGAGGGCTGGGATTACAAGAAAACAAAAAGTTTTATTCTATTTTCTTGCTTATTTGTTGATACAAGGGCTTACTATGTAGTCCAGGCTGGCCTTGAACTCACTATGTAACCTAGGTTGGCCTCAAAATCCAGCAGTCCTCCTGCCTCAGCCTGTGAGTATTGGAATTACAAATGTATACCACCAGGCCTGGCCATTTCTTTTTTTTTTTGTCTTTTTCATTTTTTTACCAGTACCAGGGATCGAACTCAAGACCTCCTGCTTGCAAGGGCCATTTCTATCATTTAAACCCACTGTTATTTTGGGTTTCTGTCTGAATTTATATTCCTAAGTAATATGATGTTAATGTATATATTGATGCAGTTGCTGAATTTCAGAGATACAGAATCTTGGGTGTGTCTAATTAAAAGAAGGAAGTCATGTGTAGGGAGGAAGCGTCAGCCTTGAACTTTCCCAGAAGTGACATCTAAATCAGAGGACAGCAAGGCCTTTGCTGTGAGTTTGAGGCAAGCCTGGGCTACTTAACAAGCCCCTATCTCACAGAAACAAAACAAAACAAAAAAGAAGACAAAGAAGCCGTATCTACCAAGACCTGAGAGAAAGGATAACCCAAGGCATTTCAACCAACTTTTTAAAAATATAAAGATGCTCATTGTGAAGCATGTAAGAACTCATGAGACTAATATGAAAAAGATTTACTTGCAAGTGAAATCTCACCAATAAAAAGAAATGGGTATGTTGGAGAATTCAAGAGATCAGAGAGACCAATGGGAAAACAGGACGGTTTTATTAGTTGTACACCTGGCTCAGAGAGGACTTCTGTCCAAAATGGCTGAGTGCTGGACAAAGGACAGACTCCAGTTTTTATACATTTGGTCAAGGGGGTTGGTCTTTGGCACAGAATTTATAGACAGGTAGAAGGAGACAAAAGCATTTTGTGAAACTGTAACAGTTTTGTATCTTGATGGCCCTGCATGGACATAATAGATTATAAGTTTTTATATAAAGGGACAAGTCCCTGCTCTTATCTATATTAGAACAAAGAACAATAGCTGTAGGGCAGGGGAAGTTTGGGAAACTTGACTTTCTTTTTAGGTCCTGCTTCATTCTCCTCCTTTGAAGCTCTCTATAAACGAGTTTTAATAGAGACCATCACTATTATTATCATTTGTTCCATGATGGGGAGTTGGCTCCCTTTTGAGTAGAGGGAGAACAATAGCAAAAACGAAAAGAGACTTATGCTGTTGTTATAATTCTGTGTTGATCCTCAAGCTTTTGCTGTGCATGGACTTGTCAGCTTCCAGAGTAACCAGAGGAGGGCTGTCATTTCCTCAAGCTTCAGCTGTGCGTAGACTGGTCGGCTTCTGGGGTGCCTAGAGCAGGGCTGTTGCTCTCACTGGCAGCTTGGTCTCACCATCCAATTAGCCAGTTTGGGTGGTTTGGACCCTGTTGGCTGTTGGTCCACCTGTCTTAGGTCACCAGTTTCAGTTGACAGTGGTGGATCCAAGGTGTAATTTCTGCAACTTTAACAGCAGTGGGGGCAGACAAGATTATAGTAAGGGTTCCATCCCATATGGGTCCCAAAGTGGCTGGGTTCAATTTTTTGACCCAGAATCCTCAATTTTGTAGGGCTGTATTGGTTCTGCCAGATTCATGGGCATCCTCTCTTGTACCTAGCCATAGATGTTTTACAAGACTATCCCTAAAGCTTGCATCTGTTAACTTAGGACCACTCTTCTAGTTTACTGAGGTTACCCTTACTTTGATGTATGATAGGGGTTTCCATTGGAACAGAACTTCATAAGGGGAATATCCAGTTTGTTTGGTGGGAGTGCACCAGAGTTGGAGAAGGACCATGGATAGGCCTTGATCCCATCTCGAGTGGGTTTCTTGGCAGTATTTTTTTAGCAGTTGTTTGAATGCACACTTCATATGCTCCATCTTTCCTGAGCTCTGGAGCCAATAGACCAGGTGTAGTTTTCATTTTATTTTTAACATCTGTGTGAGCTCCTGGACTATCTCAGTCATGAATGCCAGCTCCATTGTCTGACCCCAAGGTCAGGGTAGTCCGAATCTTGGGATGATGTCTCTTAACGGCATCTTGATCACTCCTTATGCCAGATGGGGAGGACTCATCCTGAAAAGGTGTACACAAACACCAGCGTAGAGTGACAGACTGCCACTCAAGGCAGTTCAGTAGTATTCACAAGCAAGTTTTTACATGGGGTAGCACCTACTTCCTGTATTCCCAAGGGCTGAGTGGGTCCTTTTCTTGGGTGGTTTTGGGCACAAACAGTTTGTGTGAGGGGCAGTGAGTTGAGATACATAGAAATGGCAGCCTAACAGCATCTCTTTTTTCCCTCACAGCACCTTTTGTGCCATTTTCCCCATATGAGACCCTTGATGGAATTGTCTTGCAAACCTGGGAGATGACTAGTATCCCATCAGGGAATTTTTTTTTTTTTTGTCTTTTTTCCTTTTTATCGGTACCAGGGATCGAACTCACGACTGCCTGCTTGCAAGGCAGGCGCTTATGCCGCTGAGCTAAATCCCCAGCCCCTCAGCAGGGAATTTTTAATCATTCTCCCTTGTCATAATTTCCAGATTCTTGAACAAGCCATGTCTTTTTATTTGGGAAGTGGTATCCTATCTGTTGGATACTATCTAGCACTCCTACTTTCATCTGTGAAATATTTAATATCTGGGTCTCTAAGAGGCCAATCCTTGAGATCTCTCTGGCTCAACAGTACTTCATCCATGATTTCCACATGTTTATGAAGGGGAGCTCCCAATCCAACTGGAAGCCAGGTAACTGTTTCTACAGTTATACGAGGATTTTCACATAGAAGCTCCTGAGGTCTAATCATTCTGGGGTTTGACAATAAACAGTGCCCCTTTGGTCTATTAATGTTACAACTGAGTGTGGTATTTGAGAAGCCAATTGTTGTCCCTGAGTTAGCTTGTCTGCCTCTTGTGTCAGCAGGGCAGTGAAAGCACGTTCCTAGAAGCACGAAGGCCATTCTTGGACACAGATCTCATTGTTCTAACAAGTATGCCACTGAGCAGTGCCAGGAGCCCATGACCTGGGTGAAGACCACAACGGCCATTTCCTTTCCTTCATGGACACATATAAGGAAGGCTTGGTTATATCTAGCAGTCCTAAGGCTGGGGCCTGTGTCAAGGCTTCTTTGATTTGTTTAAATGTTTTCTCTTGGTCAGCTTCTCAGGGGCTCCTTTTGTAGTTTTATATCAGTATTCAGTCATAAGTGAGAAATTTAGTATCCGGATACAAGAGTCCTGTTGCCCCCAAGAACTCTCTTAGCTGGCATTGGGTAGGCGAAATGGGGAGGGCACAGACAGCCTGTTTCCATTCAGTGCCCAGTTGGTGCTCCTCCTGTGTCATATGAAACCTAAACATCTGACATTTTGCTGACAAATTCATATCTTTTCTTGGACACCTTAAATCCAGCCCTCCAAAGTCAATGAAGGAGGTCTTTAGTTTCCTGATAACTGTCCACTCAAACTGCCAAAAGGAGGTTACCTACATAAGACGGGCTGACCGATTGGTGTGAGGTACAGACAGAAAAAGGCATCCTTTAAATCCAAGCAAGTAAACCAAGCAGCACTTGCTGGAATGAGTCCCATCAATGTATATGGATTTGGTGCCACTGAGTGAGTGGTTACAGTAGTCTAATTTACAGCACACAAATCCTGTGCTGGTATATATTCATTAGTTCCAGGTTTATGTGCTAGCAAGACAGAAAGCCCCAGGATGACTGGTCAAGTCAAGACACCGTATTCTAAGAGCCACCTGAAATGTCCCTGAATGCCTTACATGGCTTCCCGGGAGGAAGTATTGGTGGACTCACTGGAACTGCTCCTGGTGTCATTATCACCAGTGTCTTCAGCTGCACTCTGAGAACCTTTGTACCTCATCTGTGCCCAGCTCTAGTAACTCATCTGAATACAATTTCTATTCTTCTGTTTGCGTGATGGTAAGAGTCAGCACCATGGTCCCTGGCTGAGCCAGACTTAAAGTCATATTTCCCGGTGGTTCAAGGATAATTTGAGCCTGTACTTTTTGGAGCAGATCTCTTCCCAGCAGGAAGTTTGAAAGATACAGAAGCTTATGCTGGACCTCCTGTTCCCCTGTGACACATCTTTTTGGCCAGAAAATTGGCCTTTCTTCTGGGACCCCAGTGTCTCCTACATTAGTCATGTTTTTCTTGGATAGCAGCCCAGTAGGTTGAGTCACTGCTGTGTGCTCAGTTCCACTATTCACCATAATGTATGTCCATCATGGGCTCCCAGGGCCTAAGGCAATGGCGCCTGCTATTGTCTAACCCTCATAACTTCCAGTGTCTGCCAGCCCAGCACAGCTAGCATCTGGGTCCTCCCTGGGGAACATAGCCTTTTGAAGGTGACCTCCTAGTTTTGAAATTTTCATCATCTGGTATACATGCCCAGCTCTTTTTCTGTCCATCATCTTTTCAGCCAGCATTTAATATCAAAAGAAGGCCAAAGAGTTTAAAACAGCCTTAGTGGGCCACCCTTTCCCCTCAATTTGTACAGGTTTCATCTGCTACTTCCCGAGTCTGACCACTCAGTATCCCCAGGAAGTGATCAGTCTCACATAGACCCATTAAGTGTGTCTCATTTACGTAACAATAAAATGCTTATTTATTTGTTTATTTATAATCAGATTTATTGCTACATTTTAGATATACATGGTGATCACATTAAGTGCTGATTTAATCAAAGCCAATAGATAGTTATATTTCAGGAGCTTGTTAAAGACCAAGTCAAACAGATAGGAGAGCTGAGACTTGAGGACTGCCAGAGAGTCAAGGCCGTAGCTCCCCTAGACCTTCTGAGCAACAGGGAGCTTTTAGGAATGATGGCCTGGGCTTCACTAAACTAACAAGCAGACACATACTTCTTTAGATAAACTACCTCACAAACTTTTCTTCAGCATACATGAGTTTCCAGCTATGTCATTATTTTTCTCTTTATCTTTCTAGCAGGACAAAATGTTTTATCATACAAAATCCTTCCACATCAAAAGTATCTTTCATACTTGTGATTTTTCTTTATATATTTTTCTCCATCTCACTTACTATAAACCTTCTGTAACAAAGTTGGCTGTAGTCACTTACAGTGTCCTCTGTCTTAGTCTCTGTCTGTCTGTCTGTCTCTTTTTTTTTGGTTTCAGATTGCTGCAATTTAAATTTGATTGGCCACCAACATGTGTCTAAGTAACATTGAGTGGGGGTTCTTTATTTTTTTTTGTTAAGTATTATGATTTATTGTGTATGTCAAACAGAATAACAATAATAATCTGTACAGTGTTCTTATCTTAATAATCTGTACAGTGTTCTTACCTTAAAACAACAGAGAGCAAAGACCAACCCTGTAAATGTAGTTAAAAAGAATTTATAATGCACAAGAAATGTTTTAAGTGTATTAATTAAACAATTTTTTGCCATTGCAGAAGATTCTGAATATCGCACTTGTTAACTAATTTTTTTGAACCCAGGATAAGGTTGATTCTCTGAAATGGAAACTCAAACTCAGCTCCCGCTTCATCCTGCTAATCTCAGCAGGCAGAGATGAGCCTGCACCTTCGCCCCAGCCCAGCCACTGCACCAGCCAGCTGCTTAGATGGCGCTTTCGGTCCCAGTCCCCATCAGGGCAGGTTGTTGCCACTGTCTGCCACAACACATGCGGCTCTTAAGGTTCCTTGGGTGAAGGACCGAGAGAGGATGAGAAAATAAAGAGGAGACAAAGCTGGGGCCAGGTGGAGCCCTTATCCCCTGAGGGGAGGAAAGGAACCGGCCCCTCACTGCAGGGGCGTGCTCCTGCCTTGCACATGTAGTCAATTTCCAGCCTCAGAGGCTCCCCACGGCTCTCAATCTGTTTCACAGGGTGGCTTTTTGTCTCCCCCAATAGCTTGCCTACAAATCCCAGTGCACCAAAGCCAAACAGCTCTTCTCACGCTTCCAGCTTCACCTGACACCCAGTGCGCCTGGGCCTCCCTTCTTTAGGGTCTTTTTCAACTTGGGTGTAGGTTTTGTCCTAACTCACTGCAGGCACCCCTGCCTCTCTTGGGAGCCACTCTTGCCAACCCACCTCGCCAGGGAGCTGCTTCCACCATGGCCACCCTTCTACCTTCAGTTTGAATGCAGCTTTCATCTGACTTTCCCTGAGTCTGACTACCCAGTACACCCGGGAGGTGATCAGTCTCCCTTTCATTCTAAACAAGTCTTCCCCCTGGGGCCCCAAAACCTTGCTTGGTCCTGCAGTGGTGCCTCCCACAATCACCCTGGATCCCCAGACAGGTTCTGCTGCGCTGGCAGGGGAGAGCTCATCCAGCCCCAGGAAGACTCAGTCCCTGTCCAAGCTGAAGTCTCACCCAGTGACATCAGAGGTCTCGGGACTCCTGCAGCTCTGGGCCCTCTTGGGCCTTGCAGGCAAAGGAAACAGCAAATCTGTCATCTCTGATCTTGTCACGGTCACCATCAATGTTGCAGAATTCAAGAAATCAGAGAGATCAATGGGGAAACAGGAGGATTTTATTAGTTGCATACCTCACCCACTGGGGACTTCTGTCTAAAATGGCTGAGCGTTGGAGAAAGCACAGGCTCCAGTGTTTATACAGTTGGTCAAGGTGTTGGGTCTTTGGCACCGAACTTGGGGAAGGGGCAGGAAGAAGAAAAACAAAGACAGCTCGTCAAGCTGTGACAGTTTTGTATCTTGGTAGCTCTGCTTGGGCATAACAGGATGTTTTGGGAAGGGGAGGTTATAAACTTTTACATAAAGGAACAAAATGTATTGCTTTTATCTGTATTAGAACAAAGAACAAAAGCCATAGGACAGGGGAAGTTTGGGAAACTTGACTTTCTTCTTTTTCGGTCCTGCTTCAGGGAAAGGAACAATCAAGGTAGAAGAATGGTCACAAACACCAGACCCGCGTAGATTCGGAGCCCACAAGACACAGCGGACTCTGTGGTGGAGGATTGCTAAGCTTACTCTTGCAAAAATGATACAGCCACCAAATGAGGAGGAGGTTGGAGGAGAAAGGAGAAGGAATAAAGTGTGTTATTTCCTCCCGTTCCTTCTCTGGAGGTCAGCAGATGTGGTCTAAAGCTGAAACACATTCGTCTGAAAAGTGACTAAGCTCCTGTTAGTCTCCTTCTTCTTAATTTAAAGTACTGTGTTTAGAAGGCTCTATTTCCTGTTGTCAGAATATATTTTCTGAACTTCAAAAGTTGCTTGAGTTTTTCCCTCCTGTTAGACATCTTTTTTTCTTTTTCTCAGTACTGGAGATTGAACCAGAGCCATCATATCGAACTATATCTCCAACCCTTCTTAATTTTTGATACAGGGTCTCCTCAAGTAGCTAAGTCACAAAGACTTGGCTTGAATTTTTGATCTTCCTGCCTCAGCCCCTCAGAGAGCTAGGATTATAGGGATGCACTGCCACACCAGGCTGAATATTTTGTTTCTTTAAGAAAATTGTGATCCCATTTTTATTGCTCCCAGATTGATGAAAGTATGATTCAAAAATAAAACTAGAATCCATTTAACGTATATGCTTTGATGCACATGTACAATGTGAAATGATTAATGTCAAATTAATTAATGTCAGTCACTGCATGTGACCACTGTGCATGAGGAAGGCACTTGAGATTCCACAAATTTCAGTATGTAATACATTATTATTCACTATCTTCCCCATAATCTCTTTTTTGTAATTTGTTGATATTCCTATGCTCTGTAAAACAATTTGTGTTTCTTACGCATACATGAACGTGCACACAATTCATCCTCATGTTTAAATCTGTCAGTTTAGGGGTTAAAAATATCTAGAGAAAATATCTAAAAAGATGGTTGCTAAATATATCTACTGTCAATTATCTCCAAATAGTGGAGCTCAAATCCAATTTGTTATTTCTCACTCCCCCCCCCCGCTTTTTTTTTTTTTTTTTTTTTTTGCCTTTTTGAGACAGGATTTCATTATCTTACTTCTTTTCTGAAAGTTTTGGTACACTTTTAATCTTTTTTTTTTTTTTTTTTTTTTTTTTTTTGAGACAGGTTCTCCCTATGTAGTCTAGACTGGCCTTGAACTCACAATGATCCTCCTGCCTCAGCCTCCTGAATGCTGGAATTATGGGCATATACCTAGCTAAACTCAAAGTATATGGTGAAAACAAAACAAAGCAAAATTAAACAAAACAAAATTCTACACTCCTCAAAACTTAATTGTAGTAAAAAGAAAATTTACTTACACACTTTTTCAAAATTTACCTTTGAGGCAGGTGACGGTGTGTGCCTATAACCCCAGCACTCAAGAGACTGAGGCAGGAGGATCGCCACGAGTTCGAGGCTAACCTGGGCTACACAGTGAGGTTAAGTCCAGCCTGAACCGCATAGTGAGACTCTGTCCCTCCTCCCACCAATACAAACCAAACTTTCTTCACCTGCCCCTGGAAAAAACTGGTAAATAAAGACTCAGACATTGGCAGGTCCGCGGAGGCTGGCTGCTGGGGACAGGGCACTGGACTGTGTCCAGGTAAATGGCCTCCAAGCCCAAGTCTTGTTCCCATCCTCATGATTGCTTCTGATTCCCCTCTGATTCTGTTTCTCCAAGTTGCCTCCATATGGCACCTGCGCACGCCTGACCCCACTTTGCGTTATGTCGCTTGCTCCCGTTGCTCCCCTCCCCACCCTAGCATGAGTCCCGGCGGGGGCAGGGGGCGGAAGTGCCTCTGTCCTGCCCACCAGGACCTCCAGTGCTGCAGACGGTCCCAGGTGAGAAGATGGGGACCTGTGAGAGACCGACAGTCAGAAGCCTCCAGAGGGTGCACCATACATCTCAGATTCTCCTGGGTGGCTCTGCCTTTGCCACGCTGTGACTGGCCAACTTTATTAGCAGAGCATGAGGGTTACACTCCTCACAGGGAGCTGGCACACGTGCATAACACATCTTCCGTCCTTTTATGTCCACTTCCCCTCCCAGCCTTGCCCCCTCCGTCTCTAGATCCCTTTCCAATTCGCAAAATATCTATATTCCTGGTTCCTATTACCTGTCCTTTGTTTTGCTCTTCAAATTATTTATGCTTTGGGTTTTTCCTATAAGAGAAACTCAATGATATTTGTGTGTCTAATTTTACATAACATTGTGGTCTCAAGTGCATCCGTTTTCCAACAAATGACTTAGGTTTATCCTTAATAGCAGAATAGTTTTCTATGGGGTATAACGTCCACATTTTAATCCTTTTTTAAAATCTTTTGAGTCAATATTTTACTGTGTAATTCAAGCTGGGCCTGAACTCACTATGTAGCTCAGGCTGGCTTAACCTGACAATGATCCTTCTGCCTGAGTGCTGGGATTATAGGTGGGTAACACCATGTCCAACTCTATTCATCTGTTGATGGATATATATCCCTTTCCAAAATTTAACTGTTGGGAATTGTGCTGCTGTGAGCATGTGTATGCATGTGTCGCTGTAATATGATGTTTTTAACTCTTTTGGGGAGATAATCCCAAAAAGGGACTATCTGGGTGAAGTGCAATTTCTATTTTTTAACTTTTTGGGGAATCCCTATGCTGAGTTTGGTAGTGATTGCAGTAGTTTACATTCCCACTAACAAAGGGGAAAGATTTTTTTTTCCCCCTGCATCACTATTTGATGTTTTGATGATAAGACATTCTTTCTGGAATTAGATAAAATCTCACTGTTGTTTTTAACTTACATTTCTCTAATAGACAGAAATGCTGAACATTTCTTCTGTCTTTCTTTCAATTCTTTTTTTGAGCCGGGCTCTCACTGTGTAGTTCAGCTGCCGATGAATTCACTTGGTGTAGTGTAGGCTGGTCTTGAATTTGCAGTGATCCTCCTGCCTCAGCCTTTTGAGTGCTGGGATTTACAGTTGTGTGTGACACCATCCCAGCTGAACATTTTTTCACATATTTATTGGTCATTATTGCTTCTGCTGAAAAATGTCTATTTTATTTACTTTTTTTTTTTTTTTTTTTGTCTTTTTCCTTTTTATCGGTACCAGGGATCGAACTCGCGACTGCCTGCTTGCAAGGCAGGCGCTTATGCTGCTGAGCTAAATCCCTAGCCCCTTATTTACTTATTTTTCTATTGGGTCTTTTACTTTAAGAAGTGTAATTCTTCTGAGAGTTTTTTGCTTTTGTTTGTTTGGTACCAGGGATCGAACTCATGACCTCACGCTTGCCAGGCAGGTGCTCTTGTCACTAAGCTAAATCCCCAGACCTCGTATGAGTTTTTTATGTATCCTAGATGTTCATCCTTTGTGTGAGGAATAGCTGGCAAAATGTTTTCCATAGGTTGTCTCTTCACTCTGCTGGTTGTGCTCTTTGCTGTTCAGAGGCTCTTTGATTTGATATCCCATTTGTTAATTCTTGATATTATTTCTTGAGCAGTTGGGTTTCTGCTCAGGAAGTCCTTACCTACGCCTGTGCTTATCTTCCATCACATTAAGGGTTTCTGTTTTCCTAGTTACATTTAGATCTATTTTGATTTGATTTTAGTACGTGGCCAGAGGGAAGGCTCTAGATTCAATCTTCTGCCTGAGGAGAGGCGTCTCTCCTAGCAGCAGTTCCTGGAGGCTGTCTTTACTCCAGCATGGCTTAGGGCATCTTTGTCAAAACTGAGGTATGGGGGCGTGGCCTGGGCGTGGCCTGGGGGAGAGGCGGGGTCTGGGGAGGGGAGGGGGCTGGGGAGGGGGCTAGGGAGGGGGCTGGGGAGGGGGCTGGGGAGGGGCGGGGCCTGGGTGGGGCGAGGGGCTACTTAGCCTCTCTCCCTGCGCTCCCCACCATTCTGCCTTGGTCCTCCTGCACCAGGGCCCCTGAGCTGCCCACCTAGGACATATGTGAGCCTGGAGAGCTCGAGTGACCTGCGTTGCCAGCACCATGGACGCGGTGAGGAAAGAGCAAATCACAAACCTGCTGCTGTTTGGCTTCCTCCAAAGCTCCAGCGACCCTAATTTCAGTCAAGAGCTGGAGGCACTGGGCCGGGAACTGCGGGTGCAAGGTTCCAAGCAGGGGGCCAGTGAGGAAGAGCTGGAGATAGATGGGCCCGCCCAGTCCTGCATGGAGAGCTCCGAGAAGGAAGAAACCCTTCTGCATATGGGCATGACACTCGCCCTTCGTGGGGGGCACATGGAGAGCAAGCTCGACCCCAGCCTGGTGGGCCGCCTGGCCGAGCAGATCTTGGACCCGAGTCTGTCGGACGAGGACAGGACACACTGCATGGCGGCCACGCTGCAGGAGGCGCTACGGGCCTTCCCTGAAGACGCGCACAGCGATCAGACCATGCTGACACTGACCATGCTGATGGCCAAAAAGGTGGCTCGGCAGAGGATGGGCCTGCTGCCCCGCATCTTTAACATAGTAGGGAGATTTATTGTCAGGAACTTATTCTCCTGTGTGAAGGACTTAGTCGACAGTGAGATGGCCTGAACGGATGGCCTTGCAGAAGCTTGTCTGGCCAAAGCTTCTCTTGGTGACTGGCGCAAGCTCCCCACAGGAGAAGCCGCGATGGCTGGGTACATGGCCGGCTTACAGGGAACCTGGACAGCAGCCTCTCCCTCTCTTCAAGGCCCTGGTGTGAGCTGGCTACTCAGAAAAGTCTCCACTGATGTACTTGGATAAAGTAATGACAATGTGCAGATGTTTAAATAGGTTTCGTGTCTTCCTCTGCACCTTGAGCCTCTCTTATTTCAACTTACTCCAACCTACCTTTACATTGATGCGAACCTTTTTCGACTTGATTTCCCTTTATCTGAGTCAGGGTCACAGGCAGTTGAAAGTGTGAGGCTGACACAAAGGCCCAGGTCAACCGCTGTTTCCGGTATCATCACTTGGATGGACCTTTGCTGTCTCCCAGAAATGCTGGCTTTGAGAACGGCTGGAAGCGGGTGGTGGCCAGCAGCTCCCCCGGAAGTCCTGTCACCACCTTCCATCTTCAGGTGTCCTCCAGGGGCCTCAGCTACTCTGTGCCCGGAAGCCACATCTGAAGAGAACAGGCTTCCTGCTTCGAGGATGAAAACGCTCTTACACTTAAAATCCGGTTGCTAAAGTGATCCCTTTCCCAGGGACACCAGCTCAAAACATGGACAGATCCAACTCGCTTGGGAAAGACCTTTGCCACCAAAAGCAAGACTTTAGTGTGGAAACGGCACGGCCCTGGCCTTGGACCCCACCTGGGAGTCACTCCTAGGATCCGGTTTGCAAGCATGGGTGCTGAGTCCCTGTCACATGAGTCACCTCTTGCTGTAAGCCTTGTGACTGTGAGTAGGATGCCTGGGGGCAGCTTGTGAACAAGAGCAACCAAGTTCTAATAAATAACATCTTGTTACCTAAAAACGAAGCAGCATTGGGTGGCTGACTGTGTCCAGGTTGTTTCTGTATCCTCTTGCCTGTTCCTTTGATTCACAGGTCTGGTTTTGCTCAGTACCATGCTGTTTTTATCACTGTAGTTTCACAATGTGACTTGCATGCAATTCGGGTTTGTTTGGTCTCTGCTTTGCTCTTGTTGCCAAGTTTGACTTTTATTTTTCTTGGTCTCTTTTCTTTGTATATGGATTTTAGGACTGTTTTCTTTTTATTCTTTGTTTTGGGTGAGGGGATCAAACTCATGACCTTGAGCTTGCCAGGCAGGCACTTACACCGCTGAGCTAAATCCCCAGCCCTAGAACTGTTTTCGTGATTTCTTTTTTTCTTTTCAGTGGTACTGGGGATCAAACCCAGGGCTTTGTGTGTGTGAGGCAAGAGCTCTACCACTGAGCTACATTCCCAGCCCTGTTTTCTTATCCCTTCACCACCATCATTCTTCTGGACTAAGATGGAATCTCAGCATTGTCTTAACTTGCATATCTCTAATGCCAGAGATGCTGAACATTTTCCATGTATTTATTGGCCATTTGTCCTTTTCCTGAGAATGTATTCATTTCACTGGCCCATTTTTTTTTTTTTTTTTGTCTTTTTCCTTTTTATCGGTACCGGGGATCGAACTCACAACTGCCTGCCTTCAAGGCAGGCGCTTATGCCGCTGAGCTAAATCCCCAGCCCCAACTGGCCCATTTTTTGATTGGATCTTTTATTTTGGAGTTCTCATTTTTCTTTTTGAGTTTTTATTTAATTTATTTATTTTGTCTTTTTGAAACAAGTTCTCACTGTGCAGTTCAGGCTAACCTCAAGCTCATTTTGAAGCTCAAGTGGGTCTTGAACTTGCAAAGATCCTCTTGCCTCAGCCTTCTGAGTGCTGGGATTACAGAAGTTTGCCACCATGCCTGGTTCTTTTTTTTTTTTTTTTTTTTTTGAGTTTTATGTGTTCTATATATTAGTCTTATCACAACCTTTTCCCCATTCTGTAGGTTGTTGCTTTTGCCACAACCTACAGTTGTTGTTGGTTATTTTCTTTGCCATTCAGAAGCTTTTTATTTGGATGTAATCCCATGAGCTGCTTCAGTGTGTGCAATTCACTTGTGCAATTTGAGTTTTGATCACAAAGTCAAAATCAAAAGAACTAGAGCTGGGGATTTAGCTCAGTGGTGCAAGCGCTTGCCTAGCAAGTACAAGGTCCTGAGTTTGATCCCCAGTACCCCCACCCCCCCAAAAATCAAAAGAATTGAAGCTGCGAGCAGCCCCACGTGCTGAGCTGGGGCTCCCAGGACAGAGCCAGAAGCTCCAACGGCTTCTGCAGATGGTTTTGCCTGCTGTGGTGAGGCCAGCATCCCCCTCCCACCACCACTGCAAAGGCCCAGGCCTGTGCATTTTTCTCCCCTAGCTTCCGGCCTTGCTGGAGCTGTGAACCCTGCGACATTCCCTCACCTCTACCCTCCTGCCTCTACTCCAGCTCCGAGTAACTCCTTATTTGCCTGAAATTTCTTTAGCAGCCTCTCTCTAAGGTATCAGTGCCTCACACATTTGACTCTGGGACATCTGGGCTGGAGGAGCAACTTCTGTTTATTGCACATCAGCAACCCAGCCTGGCTGTCTGTGCGTTCATCATGTCCGTCCTGGCAGCAACACGAGATAGGTGGCAGCTGTGACATTTACCCAGCTCTTTAGATTTCATTTTATTTTCATAAACACTGACTCACTTATCCCATGGAAACCTGGTGAAGAGGTCAGAGCTCTATTTTATGGATAGGAAAACCAGGGGCCAAGAGATGTTAAACTGACTATCCCATGAGGCATGGTGGCTCAAACCTGTAATCCCAGCACTCAGGAGGCCGAGGCAGGAGGATCAAGGTGAGTTCCAGATCAACCTGAACTACACAGTGAGACCCTGTTCCAGAATTGAGCTGAGCAGGCCACCCTTTGTCTCTCTGAGTCTTGACAGGGCCACCACTTCTTACTCAGTCACTCAGCCACCTGAGGAGTGACCTCTGGCTCCTATGACTTCCACATCTAGGGCTTCTGCCATGAACTGTCATCGCCTCCGAGGGATCCCCCTGCCTCTGCGTTTCCACCCCACATCCGGACAGCGCAGGTTCCCATGTGGGGCCCAGATTCCTCACCCAGCTGCTGTTTACAGCTCTGCACACCTCCCTCTGACCTTCCCAGATGTCCAGCGGGGACAGGCATGCCGCGCCACAGCCCCCTCACTCCTGGCCCTCCTGTTCTTTACATCCATTCCTGCTCCGCTGTCCCTGTTCAGGGGCACTTCCACTCTGTTCTTTCTCATCAAAGCCTGCCTGTCTTTCTATGCTCACGGCATGCCTTCCCTTCTCCTTGGGTTGAGTCATGGATTTCCGCCTTTCTGCCTGGATGATAGGGATCTCCTTGATCAGGCACAAATGTCACACGAAAGGCTGGAACACAGGAGTGGCACGGTGACCGCAGCAGTCTCTGCGTTCTGGGTAATTAGCAGGTGTTTTCTTTCTACTTTTGAAACATAGCTTCCTATTTTCTTGGCTGAGCATGAATCATGCTATAATGACATGAAGAACATAAACTTTATTATGTTTTCTGAAGTGTGGATCTGAGCTAGGGAGAGGGCAAAGGGCAGGATGCTGCTCAGGAAGGTGGCTGTGGGGTCAGTCCAGGTGGGGAGACAGTGACCTCAAAGTTCTCCTTGAAAGGACAGAGAGGTGCTCATGGGTCACTCGCCATGGTTCATTTAGACCGGAAGTGAAATCTGGCTTTGCCCATCACCCCTTGAGCGTAGGAAAACCAGCCAATCCTCTGAGCACCCATGTTTACTCACCGTGTTGGCCGTAGAAAACTTACTTAGGCTCTGGGAGCCTCATCCAGCCCATAGCTGTAAAACCTACAAACCTATGCGCCGGGCACTGTTGTGGGCTCCTGCACAGTCCAGGCAAAGTCTCCACTTCTAGGACTTTTATATTCCTGAGAGAGAGGCAGGTAATAAGCAATCAGGAGCTATATGATATTTCTTTTTAGTTGACATGTGACAATCGTGCATATTCACGGGGCAGGGCCTGCTAAACCCTGGGAGCCTAACATTAGTTTGGTCATCAAGGGGCAGAAATGTGGATCTGCCAGACACACGTTTATTTTCTATTGACAAATTATTAATTTTTATTATGTTAAACAATGAGTACTTAGGAAAAAAAATCACAAAAATAAAGTACTGGGGGCTGGAGATTTAGCTCAGCGACATAAGCGCCTGCCTCGCAAGCAGGCAGTCGTGAGTTCGATCCCCAGTACCGATAAAAAGGAAAAAGACAGAAAATAAATAAAGTACTGAATTTTTAATATTTATTGAAAAAAAAAAGCATCAAAATTTTCAACATTGATTGATTTTTGATCTGCAAAAAATAAAAAAGAACACCAGAAATAAATTCCCATGTGAACAATGATGAAAATACCAATAGCAGTCTATGAAAAAAACACTTTACTTCAATTATCACACCCAAGGCACACAGGACAACTGCAGGCTCCACACAAGTATCGCTTCCACTTAAAGCACGTGTGCTTTGTTCTCCTTTCCTTTCCTGTAGGGCACAGCTGGCATCTTCTTTGTTTTCCTGTCGTCACAGTAGTGGGTCTTCGTGATGCGGTGCCTTCCTTTTCCCCTGTCAGCTCACCGGTATGCGCCACAATTTTTTTTCATAGTTCCTTGGGCAGAAAACATTTTGGTTTTTCTCTGCTGCAAATGATCTCTTAGGAACTGCAGGCCCAGTCCTCTAAGAAACATCCTCTTGTTATTCTTTGTAAAACGTCAAACTTATTTATGCCACACATGGTTAGGCTCTAATAAAACAGAACTCTGGCCAATCCTGTGTGATCCAGGGACATCATGATTGCTGCTTAACTCATCAACGACATCTACTCCACGTTCTTTTTTGTTTTGCAAGCTTCTGTCTCAGGCTTCTGTTTTGTTGAGGTTTCCCTATCAATATTTCCATCATGGGTAAATGTTGACATCCGCAGGACCAGTTTATTTTTCTTTGCCCTATAGAAGCCCAATGTGATATCTTTCTGAAACCAAACATTGAACTGTACAAGTCTCTGTTTTGAGATTGTAGCTTTTCATTGGAATTTTTCCTTTGTTCCTGCATACAGTTCCTGCCCTTGTCAACTTGTGCTCTGTTAACAAATGTAGCATCAACTGGAAACCAGTAAACTGATTGCTGAATGTCAGATTCTGATTAGTTTAGGAGGTGGGAGCAATGAGTCTGTTAACATGATCAGTTTATTACTGTATGAGTAAGGACCTGATGGCTGACTTCAGGATAATTATCTACACTGAAAGTATAATGTTTTCCCATCTAGAAAGGCAAGCATTTTTATGCCATATTTTGACCCACCACTTACCGTAAATCTTCTACATTCCTGAGCTCACCATAAGAAATCTGTGCTAAGTACAGCAAACCTATGAATGCTTTCGGTTCAGCTACTGAGGTGTCACAATAAATACTTCTTTAAATATGGCTGTTGGTGCATACAAAACATTTCACTTGCATTTCAGCCTTTGTGTATTTCATAGAATCTTGTAGCATTTTATCTTTTCCAATTTCCAACACTAACTGGCAGTGCCGGCATTCTATACATTTTACCCCTGACGAGGCCTTTACTATATTTTCAAACCTAGTTCCAACATTGGACCATTCCATTTTGTTGCATGGCCATTTCATAACATTTTGACTACTCAAATATTCACTCACATTGCTGTCTTCTTTGTCATCTGAATCAAGGAGATCTACATTTCCTGTGTCTGTACCAGTCAATTCTTGCTCCATTTCACTGTCACAAGAACTTTGGCTCACATGGCCGACATCAACATCATCATCATTGTAGTCAGGGGTTGTGAGGAGAACAATTAGAATTAGGACACAATTTATAATATTATTTTATGATGGTCACCCAGAGTTAACACAAAAAAATACAAGAAATCTA